CTCCTGAGTAGCTGGGATTACAGATGCGTGCCACCACGCCTGGCTCATTTTTGTATTTTTAGTAGAGATGGGGTTTTACCACGTTGGTTGGGTGGTCTCAAACTCCTGACCTCAGGTGATCTGCCTGCCTTGACCTCCCAAAGTGTTGGGATTACAGGAATGAGCCATGGCGCCTGGCTGAAATTTCTAATTAGATAATTTATACTTTTCAGTCAAAATTTGAAAAATAATTATTGTTGAACGGTATTTGGAATACAACTGTTTGGGAGGCCCTTAGTAGACTAATTTATAAAAAACATAACAGAGGGTGATGAGGGAAAGTCTATGTTTGATCCATAAAGTCTGACACTTGAGAAATAAACAATGACTTGACAGTGGATGAAAGAAGAAGACAAAATGAGTAGGAAACTCTGATACTACTGTTGATAAATGGTGGTTTCAGACAAGGCTGAAGCAACCCTGGAGCTGTGGGAAGTGGTAGATGAAGAATGTACATCGGGGAAAAGGGGAAAAGCAGTTATAGTCCAGCTTTGATAGTGTAAGGAAATAAAAATATAATAACAAGGGTTTTTTAAAAACTTGTTATGTTTTGGTTTTAAGTTGAATATACTATACAAAATGTAATATCTAGTAAATTTTGACAATGGAATAAGCAAAAGAATCCTTGAAGCCTAAATTATAACGTATTTATTAGTCAAATAAGCCAGATCATTGTAAAATACAACTTTATCTTTAGGTTTCAAAAAAGAAACACTAATATGTAATTTATAGATATCCTAATCTCTGAGGCAATATAAAAATAGATTAATATTTAGCTATGTTCTCTAGCATGTATCACAAGTATGTCTTGAAAAGTGAAGTGACTGTTAAGAGTTTCCTAGGTAGAATGCTGGAATACCTTAATTATTGAAGTTATCCCACAAATAGTTACAGCATTTCTACCACATTCTAGGTCCTGTGTTAGGACCTGGGATACAAAGATAAGTAAGATACAGTTATCGTTGCCAAGGAACTCACAGTCTAACAAACGCCAATATAATATGATAAACACTGTAAAAGATATTTTCAGGAAGCTAATTGGGGATGGAGCCCATAGCAGCCTATGAGGAGAAAGAAGGAAGGCTTCCTGGAAGAGGAGGTATCTGAGCTAATTCTAAATCACTGCACCAAAATTCTCAAGTTTAAAAAACAAGAGAGCAAACAGTTGTCCTGTTTTTTGTTTGTTTGTGAGACATGATCTCATTATGTTGCCCAGGAGGGTCTCAAACTCTTAGATTCAAGAAATCCTCCCACCTCAGCCTCTCAAGTAGCTAAGACTACAGGTACACACCACCACACCCAGATCCCTTTGTTTATACAAGAGAAATAATCAGGGGAATAAGGCTAATAAATCCCTTTGGATTCCTAAACTTACTTCTTTAGCATATGTATCTGAAAATTTCTAAACTGTTAGTAAATATGAATAACAAATTTAATAAATAGAAATAATATGTATGAATACAACACTCCAAGACTTTCCTACATTGATTAAGTAAAATGCTAGTGGATTTTTACTTTCTTCATTCACCATACATACAACTTGTTATAGCCACCAACAGCGCATACTTAACCCTTTCTCTTGGTAGGGTTACTGGAAACTAAATGAAACGTGAAGTTTAGTACAGGGCCTGGAACACAGCAAAGTTCAGTAAGTGATAATCTCCCTCTCTAGTCCAAGGTGGGTCTTATACACCCTTTTATTACAATGCCCTTGCAATCAATGATGCTCCATAAATATTTAAACTATACACTGACCCCACAGTTAATTACCAGTACCTATCAAATCCTTAGCATCATCTCTCTTTCCCCAATTCCCTTAGTCTCCACCCAATTTATTCTTAGTAATGCCTTGTGACAAAACTCTGTAGGGATAAGTTCCTAAAACAAGAGTGTCACATTTAAGTTATATTTTTTAAAAATCACATAAGCATGATTCATAAAACAGTGATTGGAAGCTTCTGCCTATCCAACTGCAAATAGAAGTATCAAGACTTTAATATCTGTGGAAAAACAAATCGCTCAAGTATTAACATTACATACAATCTCAAATTCCAGAGTAGGTAAGGATAAGGCAGTAAGTGTAGCTAGAGTACACCGACAACAGATGGCAGCACTTGAACATTAAGCCCTGATGATAAGCCCTCCTTTTCACATTCATGTTCTGCTGTGACTTGCAGATTTGCATAACCTCAATCAAGGTGGGCAAAAGATTATGTCTCCATACTACCGTAATGAGAAGGGACAACATGACATGAAACTCGTCTGAGACATAGCTGAGTCTATGACTTGTTGAAGTTGTAAAAGTTGTAATAGATATGAAGCTGGGTTCTGCAATCTTGAAAATGGGGGTACCCACAAATCATTAGAGCACTGGAAACATATAACCACTTAAAATGTCACTCAGCTGCACCCACACAATGTACCTGGAAGTTGATTTTTTTAAAGAAACGAAATTTATACTCAAGTGTGGTTCATATAAATTAGAGTTACAAGTAACAGAAAATGAGTTACTACAATTTTTTGGTAATATTTCTTATATGTTAATAGATTTGTATACGGTTTCTAACTAGCAAGAAATTAAAAAGAACTTTTGGAACTAACTTGTTAGTTTATTATACTGCTAACTTATGCAAGAAGAAATAGATTCCTTCATTCTTCTGTATTCCATGGTTAAGAGCAACAACTTAGGAGAAAAAGACACCTAGATTGATATACTACCTCAGTCACTTTCTAGCTTTGTGACCTTACCAAGACACTTAAACTGTCTGTGACTTTATCTGTTAAAAAGTGATTACTGGGTGTGGTGGCTCTCACTTGTAATCCCAACACTTTTGGAGGCCTAGGTAGGAGGATTGCTTGAGTCCAGGAGTTCCAGACCAGCCTGGTCAACAAAGTGAGGCTGCAGTGAGCTGTGATCGTGCCACTGCACTGCAGCATGGGCGACGGAGCAAGATCCTGTCTCAACAACAACAACAATAAAAGACGTGGACATACCTCACAGGATTTTGTAAGGATCAGAGAAGTAAAGAAAATAGCATCATGCCTAACACATAGTAAGGATTCAATAATTGAAAGCTATTACAATTGTGGTTCAATGTATTCTCCCCCTGCCCTGCTATTTTTAAATTACTTACTTCAAGTTCCTGAAAATGCATTGCTAACTGTATTATGTGTAGATAAAGTGGCTGGGAGCTTGATAGCTGTAGCAATGATGTTTTTGCAAATATTGTAGATGAAAATAAATCTAATTTTGGAACGGAATGGGGAAAGATGCAAATTTTAGTTTTACATTATTTATTGTGTACTAAAACCTGTGTGAAGGTCCCTACTTGAGTCTAAGGTCAGGATCTCATGATCCATTTTGATTAGCTAAGTTTGCTCAAGCCAAAGGACTTTATTGCTTCATGCTAACCAGTCTGCCCTATAGGACAAAGACTGCAAAACTAAAATTGTGATTTCTTGCTCCTCAGTGGCCTTGCATCGGCGAAGGGCACACAGTGCAGGCTTTGGGTGGTGATTAACTGGAAGGGTCTGTCCCAAGAACAGATTACAGCAGACTGCATTCATCTAAACATGTTTCTAGGTAATGCAGGAGTTTCCACCAGCCTACTCTAATCACATAGGTTTCTCTTTCCCTTTCTAGGATTGTCTACCCTTGCAGTGGAAGTAGGCAGAATGTAAAGGGAGGAGTTGCTGAATACTTTTAAAGGCACTGAAAAATTCAAGTTAAAGTTATAGTTGAGAGTTAGTAGCCTCACTAGCCTGTCTTGAGTAAAGGTCATGTCTCATTCATTTTTGTGTCTTCAGTGTCGCAACAGAGTTCTGCATTCAATATATTTGTAAATATATGAATTCACAATTTTGATTTTCTGAAATGTCACGTATGGGAACGCCGTACGTTTTCAAATGTGCCAAATAACAAGGCTTCAGCCATGAATGGATCACATAAACTATGGTGATCCTATAAGAGTATATGCCATGTTTTTACTGTACCTTTTCTATGTTTAGGTAAGTTTAAATACACAAATAGTTACCACTGTATTGTAATTGCCTACCGTATTCAGAATGGCAACATGCTGTACAGGTTTACAGCCTAAGAGCAATAGGCTACATCATACAGCCTGGGTGTGTAGTAGGCTATACTATCTAGGTTTGTGTTTAAATACACTCTAGGATGTTCCCTAGGGGATGATTAACCTAAGGACACATTCCTAAGAACATATCCCCATCTTAAGTGAAGCACTACTGTAGTTGCTTTTGAAATGTGTGACCTATGGCGTATTAAGAGGAATACCGTGTGCCAAGAAGTGACGCTAAGAGTTTATCTTACAACTGAGTTAAGTAAAATTTGGAAACTTGGTTTCGAGGTTAACTAAGACATGTAAGGTGACACAGGTAGTATGTGACAGAGGGTAAGAACTGAACGTTCACCAGGTCTACCTGACCCTTAATCACAATACAAAAAGTTTTCTATTAATTCCGCAAAATCTGGTCAGCCGCTTCAATGCGCAGCGTTACGCAGTCCACACCTGGAATTTGGGGTTGGTTTACCAAGAACAGCCAGGGTGTACGCCCACTCCATCCTAACCAGGAACTGGAATCCAAAAGGTAAAACGTGGCTATTGCGCATGCTCACACCGCCCTTCCTTGCTCTCCCCTCCCTGACCCTAGACGCCACCGCAGCAACTTTCTGGGAGGACTTTGGAATAGCTCCCGCCAACTGTTAAGTCAAACCGGCGGAAATCCTTCCTTTCTGCGACGTGGACACCTTTCTCATCCTCGGGCCTTTCCAACCAGGATGCAGAAACCACGCGGCTCCGTTTCTCAGGGATTCAAGCCGTAGTTTGCCAGTTGTTAATATGGCGGCTAACAGGCAGGTCCCAAGCTGAGGCCTTTCATAGGCCAAGGTCGCATCCTGGCCCCGCCCATTTTGTCCCTCCAGGCTGCGTCCGCCCAGCTCTTCGCTACGCATGCGCAGCGGGGGCAAGCTGGGAGGTGGGACAGACAGAATCTTCCGTGTGTCGCCGCCGCTGCCGCCTCAGCCTCAGCCTCGTTACTCCTGCGGTTCTGTGGCTGTGTTGCTGGCGTTAACGGCGCGAGGTGAAGAGAGGTGACGGAAGGTGCGCGCGCGCGCGCGGGGGGTCCCCTCAGTCCCAGCAGTTCCCTTCGTGCGGGTGGGGCGGAGAGGGTCTTCAGCAGTCGGGAGAGGCCCTTGACGGCGCCATGTCGGCGGGCGGTCCATGCCCAGCAGCAGCCGGAGGGGGCCCAGGGGGCGCCTCCTGCTCCGCCGGGGCCCCCGGCGGGGTATCCATGTTCCGGTGGCTGGAGGTGCTGGAGAAGGAGTTCGACAAGGCTTTTGTGGATGTGGATCTGCTCCTGGGCGAGATCGATCCAGACCAGGCGGACATCACTTATGAGGGGCGACAGAAGATGACCAGCCTGAGCTCCTGCTTTGCACAGCTTTGCCACAAAGCCCAGTCTGTGTCTCAAATCAACCACAAGCTGGAGGTGAGCCGTGGGCGCTGGCGGCTATGGCATCCAACCCCGGGCTGCCCGGTGGCGTCAGATCCCATTTAACGCTCCAGTGAAACGACCCTAGAAAACTGCCCACCGGGGCTTCCAAATGTGATGGGAGAGTGCATGTCTGTGTGTGCGAAGGAGAGGAGTGAGGTGAGGGTGGGGGACAAAAAGGGCCCTAGACCGACACGTGAGTCTCCCCGGGGTACTGTCGTCCACCTTCCTAGTATCTCTCTGAGGCGGAAACTAATTACATACACTAGCCCCCCTTTTACGTGTTACATTAACAAACCTAACAAAGATTCTCTGTCATGAAAATACCGTAGGCCACCTTTTGACAATTGAGTTTTGCAGATCTACTTTCACATTGATAAACCGAATTTGTATATGTTCAGACAGATACAGCCCTGATTATTTTCATTTTAAATATTTCAGGTCAGCGCCTATTACTGCATACAGAGACATGCATAAACTATTTAGGGGAATCTGATCAAAGCTCTTAGGAAAATTTCGTGGTGCATAACGATAGTATCATTGTCTCGGTTTACATCCATAGTTGGTCCTTAAATTACAGGCAGATACCTCCAGAGAGCTTCCTGCAATTATTGAAATTACTTCTGACATTGAGTTTTTATATGCTTGTACATTACTGTGTAATTTTCCAAAGTCTAGATTTATTTTTGAGAGAGTATAAAGCATCATTTGCTTTAATCTCTGATGCTGGGTGTGGGTGAGGGTGGAGTGGCTGTGATTCAAAACAAAAAACTATCACGTTGTGCAGAAAATTTAAAAAGGGCATTATTACAATATTTATAAATCAAGATAGATTAACATTATTGCATAAAGAGTATTTTCTAACTAGGCAATTTAAGAGAATGGGTCTTTCTTTTCAAAAAGTGTAATAGATAAAAATGGGATAATCAGTGATGTGCAAAACTCTTCGAACATTAGCTTTCCTAAGAAATCATTACTCGTTGTCATTGAGAGTGCCCATTGTATCTATATCAATATGAATGTCAGATAAACATCCTCTCCTTGCCTAGTGGTCAGCATTCTTTTTCTCCTATTAGCCATGAAGTATGTGGCATAATTAATCCTTGATTAACATAGATGTACATATCCAAGAATTGTGGCTCTTCTCCACTGCAAGAACTGTTAATTTCTTCTATCCTTTTTGAAAAGATTAGAAAGTGCTAATATGGCCGGGCGCGGTGGCTCAAGCCTGTAATCCCAGCACTTTGGGAGGCCGAGGCGGGCGGATCACGAGGTCAGGAGATCGAGACCATCCTGGCTAACACGGTGAAACCCCGTCTCTACTAAAAATACAAAAAACTAGCCGGGCGCGGTGGCGGGCGCCTGTAGTCCCAGCTACTCGGGAGGCTGAGGCAGGAGAATGGCGTAAACCCGGGAGGCGGAACTTGCAGTGAGCTGAGATCTGGCCACTGCACTCCAGCCTGGGTGACAGAGCAAGACTCCATCTCAAAAAAAAAAAAAAAAAGTGCTAATATGAAGGTAATCACTTCTTACTGTAGGTAAATGAAAACATCTCTTGATTTCTTTATTAGTATTAATTTTCACAAGAAAGCTATTTTTCTGATTTCATTCTGATAGTGAAATTACATTTAATGTTTTATAGAAATAGTACTTTAACTTTATTTCATTTTATTTTATCTTACTGTATTTAAAAAAAAAAGAGATGGAGTGCTTTGTTGCCCAGGTTGGTCTTGAATTCCTGGCCTCAAGTGATCACCCTCCTGCCTCGGCCTCCCAAAGTGCTTTGATTACAGACATGAGCCAGCTGTGCCCGGTCATTAGTTCTCTAGCTTTAAACAACAACGATCAAAAGTAGCTTTTGCCACATGATATAATTTGAATGTGTCCCCCAAATTTCGTGTATGGGAAACTTAATCCCCAATGTGACAGTACTGAATCTCCAATATGGGGCCTTTAACAGGAGAGTGGATTATGAGTACTCAGTTCTTATGAATGGATTAATCCACTCATAGATTGATTTGTTATTGGATTAATGGATGAATGAGTTATCATAGGAGTGTAAAAGTGGTGGCTTATAAGAAGAGGAAGAGAGACCTGAGTAAGCATGTTAGCATGCTCAGCCCCCTTGCCATGTGACACCCTATGCTGCCTCCATACTCTGCACAGATCCCCTGCCAGCAAGAAGGCTCTCGACTTCTCGAGATCTGGCCCCTCGACCTTGGACTTCTCTGTCTCCATAACTGTAAGAAATAAATTCCTTTTATTTATAAATTACCTAGTTTCTGGTATTCTGTCAACAGAAAGTGGACTAAAACATCACATGAGAAATTTCATATCATTTACAACTGCAGTATCAACTGGGCATTAACAACTTTTTTTAAATGAAACAATATTTATTTTTAAAATGACCTAAGGAAACTTTAAACAGGGATTTTTTTTTTTTTTGATGTCAGATATAAAAATAGAAATTGGGAGGAAGGATAATTTTCTGAGTAGGAGGTTGTGCTCCATTTTTTTGTCTTTAAATATTGTAGATGAGTATTCAGAATTGTAATAAATTAGGCATGTTCTTTTTTCAGAAATTAAAATCGCACATTCTGACTCTTATGTTGTGATTTAGGAGGTTGCATTATTTCTCAAAATAAGAAATGCTAGCATATCACAATGTGAGCATGTTTTTTAAACATGCTTGAAACACTTGATTTAAAGATCTTAGGAAAACGGGGAGGGGGAAAATCCTAATGATTTTTGTTTGTTTGTTTGTGTGTTTTGAGTTATAGTCGACTTATTTGTCTTTGGTGTTACTGTGTACACATTTAGCAGCTTCTGCCGTTTTCATGGAATCAATTGTGTATTGCTGTGGAAAGAGGTTCATTGTCAGCAGTGCCTTTCAAAGCAGACTTGCTGCTGTACCATCTATAGAATTTCAGTGGTTGCTCCATATATTGTTTGAAATCTTGAAACAATTTCCGTATTTTCTTGCCCTTTTTTACTTTTTTAGTAAAAGGATTGAATTAGTTCTATTGTTTTAATTATATGGACGTTAAGACATATTTGAGACCACTTATGGTTTGATATGACAAATGTGGTGACGTTCAGTGGTTCAGAGGTTAATACCTTAAATCATATTGCTATAATAAAATATTTTTATATAATGAAGAAACACCTCCAATTTGGGTAATTTGTAATGTATTTAACATTAAACACTATGTTTATTATTAAAACATTAAATTTTGCTGCAAAAAAAATCATAGGTTACTTTTTTACTTGAATAGGCTATTAGGGCTATTCTTTTTTGTTTTTATTTGACATAATAATCGTACCTGTTTAGGAGGCACAGTGTAGTATTTGGATACACATAATGAATAATGGTCAAATTAGGGTAATTAGCATGTCCATCATCTCAAACATTATTCATGTTAGAAACAATTCAAAACCTTCTCTTCTAGCTGTTTGAAAATATACATTAAGCTACTATTAACTGTAATCATCTTACAGTGTTATAGAATGCTAGAACTTTTTCCTCCTATTTAGCTTTAATTTTGTTAACCTTGGAGTCCCCAACCCTGGGCTGTGGACTAGTACTGGTCCCTGGCTTCTTAGGAACTGGCTGCACAGCAGGAGGTGAGCAGTGGGCTAGAAAGCATTACAGCCTGAGCTCTGGCTCCTGTGAAATCAGCAGTGGCGCTAGATTCTCATATAGATTCTTATAAGAGCACAAACCCTGTTGTGAACTGCACACGCGAGGTGTCTAGGTTGCCTGCTTCTTATGAGAGTATAATGTCTATTGTTGAAACCATCCCCATGCCGTACTGTGGAGAAATTGTCTTCCACAAAACCAGTCCCTGGTGCCAAAAAGGTTGGTGACCACTGTGTTAACCAACATATTCCTACCCGCCTCACCCTTCCCAACTTAGAGTAACCACTGTTCTATTCTCTACTTCTATGAGATCAACTTTTTTTTTCTTTTCTTGAAACGGGGCCTCACTCTGTTACCCAGTCTGGAGTGCAGTGGTGCGATCATAGCTCACTGTGGCCTCCAACTCCCAGCTCCATTGATGCTGCTGCTTCAGCTTCCCAAGTAGCTAGGAGTACAGGCATGAGCTACTATACTCAGCTAATTTTTCCATTTTTTCTTTTGTAGAGATGGGGTTTACCATGTTGCTTAGGCTGGTCTTGAACTCCTGGGCTCAAGAGATCCTCCTGCCTCAACCTCTCAAAGTCTGGTATTACAGGTGTGGGCCACCATGCATGATGGATCAATTTTTTAACCTTTCCATTTGAGTGAGAACATACATTATGTATCTTTCTGTGTCTTGCTTATTTTACTTAAAGTCCTCCATGCTCATCCATGTGGTCTTGAATGCGGGATTTCATTCTTTTTTATGGCTGAGTAGTATTCCTTTGTGTACATATACCACTTTATTTTTATTTTTATTTTTAAATTATTTATTTATTTATTTATTTTGAGACAGAGTCTCATTCTGTCGCCCAGGCTGGAGTGCAGTGGCACTATCTTGACTCACTGTAAGTTTCACGTCCCAGGTTCACACCATTCTCCTGCCTTAGCTTCCCGAGTAACTGGGACTACAGGCGCTCACCACCACACCTGGCTAATTTTTTGTATTTTAGTAGAGACGCGGTTTCACCGTGTTAGTCAGGATGGTCTCCATCTCCTGACCTCGTGATCCACCCACCTCGGCCTCCCAAAGTGCTGGGATTACAGGCGTCAGCCACCATGCCCGGTCCCACTTTTTTTTTGTTGAATCTGTTCATCTGTTGTGGAAATATAGGTTGCTTCTGTATCTTGGCTATTGTGAATAGTGTTACAATAAACATGGGAGTGCACATATTATTCAACATACTGATTTCCTTTTTAGGGGGCTTATATACCTAGTGTATATGTTCTATTTTTAGTTTTTTGAGAACATAGGTTACATCTTAAAATTATAAATGATACCCATGTGACTGCTTTTTGCCATAGCAATATTTAGGAA